TTTTGCATTTAAAAATAAATTTGAAGCCCCTCTGAATCATTCCAATTGGATGCTCCTTAAGACAAGAGTAGCCCTGGCCCCTATGGGGCGGATTGTGGCCATCAGAGTAGAGTAGCATTTTACACTGGTGCAAGTGGGCCCTTTCCAGACAGCTCTGTCAGGTTATACTGGTGCCAGGGAAGCACTTTAGAAACTTCAGTCCAGTGCGACCATAGAAAGTTTACTCATAAACACTCAATGACTGTAAAGCCCTGTTTAGCATCATGTAGCATTCTTGCAAAGTGCCAGTTTGGCAATCTAGATGCTACCTGTGACTTCCACCAGATGGCAGCAACTGTGCCTCGAGCCTAACCACATTTTTTTCTGACTGGTGTCTATGACAGTTGAAGAGGCTAAAACCAGATTCAGTTGACTGTTCTTCCTTAAAAATGTAATTTTCATTGTGTCATGGGCTTATGCTTTGTACTGTACTTGCTACATCTAGACATTTATTATTTGGAACTCTTGCATGTGTACTGTACAGGAAAATCTTTTGTGAGTTTTGAAACTTAACCTGCTGGTGACCCAGAGGTAATACTGTAGGCCAGAGTTTCTGTCTCTGTGCTAGTTTAATTTGTACTTCAGCAGTGGGTCTCTCCTCTTCAGGTTCTCATTACTAGTACAGTATATTCATGAATTCTTGGTGCTTTGCTGAAGAACCAGTCAATTTATCCTGGGTAATCTGTCTTGAGTACTCTCGATTATGCTCTGTGTTAGGGTAAGCTGCTTGCTTATGGCCCGCTTCTGGCCCGCTTCTGGCCTTTTCAGGGTTCTTCATTGTTGTATTTGTTTTGTTTGTTTTTTATTTTAGTTACAGCATGCCCATGCCCTTCCTTGTCGTAAGATAGAATAGGGTTCGGTTATTTTCAGACAATAGCTCGAACCTTGGGTTATCTCATACTGCACTTGCTATGACTGCTTGCTAGTTGATGCTGTTTGCCATGGTGATTCAGTATGGGGGATGGACAAAGTGCATCTTGGTGCAGCAATGTGAAGTGCTATATGCAGTATTTTTACCTTCAGTCTCCAGCATTTATGTTGTTGGGGTTCAGATCCACTCAAGTGTTGATCAGTTTACCATGTGTGAGCTTTGACTCTTGAATTGTCATCTTTATAGCCTTATATCACAGGTGCTAAACCTTGAGGGTGTGTGCTTAAATATCAGCACTTAAGGTTTCAGTTCTCAACAACTGCAAAATTTAGCCCTTTTAATTCAGACGAGTTTTTGGGGTTTGGTTTCTTTACCAAACACTTAAGTTCATCCTCACATATCATTTACCAATGCTTTCTTCATCAGTTAAAGGTGTTGTTTCTTGTTTGTACCATATGGGTCAGATTATTTTTTATAATCCTGGCCATCTCCACCCTGACATATAATAGTGTTCTGTAACCTGGGGCTTGTTAGCTTAGGTCTTCCCTTGTGGCATTCGAAGCTGACCATAGCTTCTTGTTTGGCTTCTTCTGATATAGTTCTGAGAGCAGTCCTCACTCGTGGGCTGTTAAATGTGCTGGTGGAGGGCCTCTCTCAATTTTGTCCAGTCTTGGCTGAATTGTTAGTGCTTAAGGCCTTTCTGTGTATATGACACATTCAGCAGTGACTTAAGTCTTTAACATCATTTCTGAATTAAAGTATATTTGCAAGATGGTCAGTAAGCCTGTCAAATCATCCACACTATAATTTATCATCTTTAAATATGCACCACTACACTAGCGGCTCAAACATTTTATCATCAATAAGGAAAATCCCACCAAAATTCAGGACTTTTAGATGAACCAGACCTCAAGATGTGGCCCACAGCAGTCGACAAATAACCGTGCACATATTTACTGCAAGATAAACATAGGCAGATGGTGTAAGCAAATATATATATTTTTCCAAGTGACATTTAAATATAAATTTGTTAAAAAATAAAATAACGTGAAATTGGTTCTCTTATACAGAGGCGATAACTACACTGCTTTCTTACCAATATAGTCAATGGCAAATCTTATTTTAATGTGATCAGTGCATTACAAAATATAGATTGATGCTTAAGGTAATTAAACTAATAGAATGCATAACAAAAAGTACTGTGTGTCTTTAATAATACTGTAGACAGATAGTGAAATATATTTATATAATGAAGCTTGTGTAAAATGAATGAAAATTTGGAAAATGTTTATAAAATATACAAAAATGGAAACATCACAAGCTAAGCCTTTAATAAATAGGTAGTCATAAATAGCCTATCAAATTTAAATAATGGATAGAGAAGTGATAAAAAATATGTAAAACATATGTGAGACCCATACTAAAATGTCGACCGTTATATGGTGTCCATCTCTGAAACCTTACCAATATACTAGAAAACATGGGAAGACATGGTACTAAATTACTCCCGTATTTATAACACAAGAGCCCTGACGTGAGATTGGTGGTGTTAGTTATGTCGAAACTAAGACACATAAGAAAAAGTGACATGATCACCACATACAAAATTGTAACAATTGATAAAATTGATATGGAAGAATTTTTTTAAAGTCTGCGATATTGAGCTAAGAAAATAAAGATTCCAAAAAATGTACGAGTATTACAAATGAAGGCTTTAATTTTATTTAAATGAGAGGGTAGTGCTGCCCAAAATATCGGAAACTTTAAAATGTCACATGACAAAGAATACTGTATAGGGAAGTCGGGACATCATGAGCTTAGCTCTTATCCTGTAATTACACTTAATGCATGTACACTATGGCATTACACTCACACACACATAAAATTATTCACATTTTGAAAGTAGTCATTGACAAAGCTACATAAATTATTTCGTTTCACTAAAAGTCTTGTCTTAATTTTGGAATGGGTGGTGGAATTTTATTCATCCTGAAGCTTCTTCAATATAGTATCAGTTTTTCCTCCCAAAATTTCAAGGGTTTTAAGATTATCAGGAAATATCTCACTTAGGTTATATTTTGTGACTCCACAGGAAGATTCGATGGTATATGGGCCTTATGGGTCGCATGATGATGAGGTGCTATGGCTACCAATGGATCAAAATCAAGGGGCGCATGGCAACCAAAGCCGAAGCTCCCATCCTTATTGTTGGGCCTCATAGCAGTTTCTTTGATGCCATCGCAGTTTACTGGTCCAATGTCCCATGTCTGGTGAACCGCATAGAGAACCTACAACTACCCCTCTTTGGCAGTAGGTGTTTAAAATGCTATGTTCTCAAGTGTAGCTGATGCCATCTCTCCTGGTTAGACTGGCGCTTTCCTGTGTAAGACACAACAACAGTAGGGAGTGTGGTGTTCTAGCATCTTAAATTATTACCATGATATCTCGACATCCTGGATCAGGACAACCAAACAAAACAATTTTTGATGAAGTCACTCTATACAGTGCATACAGTAATTATAAAGTGATATCAGCAAGAATTGTCATGAAAAATTGCTGATCTTATACTTTCAGGTTTTTGATCAGTATGTTCGTGAAGTCATGCAAAATGAAGTGTGAATTGATAATATATTCATATTTGGATTCATTAGGCTGTGAATGCTAGTTTGTTGTTTCCCGTCTGTCACGTCTGTAGCATTAATCTGTGTCAAGTTTTCGGTAGAACTTGAGTTTTATTAAAACCTTCAATAAAGCAATTGATGTGAGATGCAGCATGTTCAAAATTAATTTTGGATGTATTGTCTCAGGTTTAATGATGTACATGTTGTACATATTCTGATTCTAAAAATGTATACAATGAATTCATCCTGAAATTTTGTGCAGATTACTGAAATACAATGTAAATACCTCCATTGCTGATAATGCAAAATAAAATAATACTGATTATGAGCAGTGAAGTATATAATGTCTCCAGCCAATAATCTTATAAATTACATACTGTAATTAAAAAAAAAATATAATTATATATATATATATATATATATATATATATATATATATATATATATATATATATATATATATATATATATGTCGTACCTAGTAGCCAGAACTCACTTTTCAGCCTACAATGCAAGGCCCGATTTGCCTAATAAGCCAAGTTTTCATGAAATAATATATTTTCTCTAATTTTTTTCTTATGAAATGATAAAGCAACCCATTTCATTATGTAAGAGGTGAATTTTTTTTTATTGGAGTTAAAATTAACGTAGATATATGACCGAACCTAACCAACCCTACCTAACCTAACCTAACCTATCTTTATAGGTTAGGTTAGGTTAGGTAGCCGAAAAAGTTAGGTTAGGTTAGGTTAGGTAGGTTAGGTAGTCGAAAAGCAATTAATTCATGAAAACTTGGCTTATTAGGCAAATCGGGCCTTGCATAGTAGGCTCAGAAGTGAGTTCTGGCTACTAGGTACGACATATATATATATATATATATATTCACCTATTTATTTTGATTGCTTTGCCAAACTTCACTTTTACGATAATATATATAGCAAGTAAAAAATTTATTACAAATGGTTTTCAGTGTAATATGAAGATTTTTGCTGATGTACATTAGTTTTGAAATTTGCCAGAATAAATTTAAACAGGTGATCATAGAATTTACTTTTAAGTTGCAGAAATTACATGAAACTTTGTGAATTGTGCTCAAAAGGGAATGAAATTTCCCATACATAATTGATGGTGACAAAATGCCTTAGGCTAAGACAAAGGGTAGAATGTGCAGCAGAAATAGATTTCTTTGGGAAAATTGCAGCACTTAAAATTTCTTATACGAATAATAATATGGTGAAAGAAGATACAGGTATATAACAACCTAAAGCTGTAAGGGCTGACAGTAGAAAATACATTTTTGCCTCGAAGCTAGATAATGTGATAGAATTTTAGGAGTAAAGCATTTTTTAAATGAGAAAAATAATACATTCATGAATCTACACAATGATATTCAAAATTTGTGTATATTCACTGTTTTGGTTCGTGCATTCCATGAAGCTTTTTAAAACTTTATTTTTTATTTCTGGCAGAATATATTGATTATACACAACCTGTGTATGTGTGGCGAGAAGATACTAATTCCCGTCAGAATACTATCCAGGAAATAAAGCGTCGAGCTACTAGTGATGAAGATTGGCCACAGGTAAGTCAAACAGTACATGTATCAGTTTTTGTTTAGTGCAAAAGCATTCCTTAGGAAGGAGTATAATGATAGCCCATAGATAAACTAATACAGTCAGCCATGTGCTTTATGAATGCCTGTTATCCAATTAAGGTTTGTTTGGATAAAAAAGTTTGGATAACTGGTGGAGCAGGCAACCTGAATAAAAATGTGCACTAAAGATGGAACTAGTTTGCCCAGTGATCATACACAGCACTACTTTAGCAGTGTTCATACACTAATGGATGGCTCAGAAGTTTTCAACTTTGCCATGGCATTAGGTACATTAGAGTACATGGTAAAAGGCAATCTGCTGAGGCTAACCCATTACCATTAATCTCCACTTCAGTCAACCTAACACTATCATCATCCACCACCACCTTTTCAATCTAAATAACTTGAAGATTATAGTTGATGGAACACTGTTAACAAGCAGATCAGAACATATATTATTGAGTACAAACAAAACACTGTTGTATTTCTGCAACAAAATTGTAAATTTTTCCCCTAGCTTTTCAGGATGACTAATCACTTATCCGAATACAACATGTTATCCATTCAGTTTCAGTTCCAAGAGGTTTGGATAGCATGTGGCTGACAATACATAAAACAGATGTAATTAATTAGTTAATTTATTAACAGTAATTAAGGGAATATAAAGCATTTTTCTGTTTTATCACAATTAAAAGTGACAATGATTTAAATTTCTTTTTAAATATCAATGCATTAATACTTCAAAATATTAATGCTACAAAGTTTAAATAAAATATCCAAATTAAACAAAAACATGATACAGAAAGCAAGAATTAGACATAACAGAAAATTATGGATATTGTTATTAACTGTAATACTTTACTCTAGTAAAATACTGTTCAACAGCTTTGCTGGTGCATAATTGATTACAAAGGTAGGCAAAGCAACATGTGGACTGGTGCCATAGGGACTAAGGCATTCCACCAAGGTCTTATCAGGCTAATTGCTTGGGAATTAATGGAGAAAAAAGATAAATCCAGCCAAGTATGACAAGTGATCAAACATCTGTTTAACAAGCTCATGCCTTACAAATTTCCCTATGATTGCTAGTAGGGAGATTTACACATCTTAATGATCAATTCAAATACTTGGTCCCACCTTAACTATATCTGCTGCCAACAGGTGGCAACTTCTCACAACCCAAAGTTCACAAATCTGTACACACCTGACCCACCTTTACATATTTTCTGACTATTCTATGCAAAAGTCTGGCTAGGGGTGCCTTCTGTCCTCTTGTCCATTTTATTTATACCATCATGAAATGGTATAGCTAGCTTTAAAAATAGGCTTGATAGATACATATGTATGAAGGGTTGGATCTAGGTGGACACTGTCCAGAATGAGCCAACAACCCCCCGTTGGTGACTCCTATATTTTTTTTAAATTTTCAGGTAATGGTCTTCCCAGAAGGCACATGCACAAATCGCTCCTGTCTCATTACCTTCAAGCCTGGAGCATTCTATCCAGGAGTGCCTGTTCAACCAGTCATCATCCGCTACCATAATCGCACAGACTCCTTTACTTGGACTTGGGATGGTCCTGGAGCGTAAGCAAACTATGCTTAGTAAATACAAATTGGTTGACATTTGTTGAAAGAATATTCTAGCCATATTAAAAGAAAATGACAATGAATTTGAGATCAACAAATACATAAATAATACTAATGCTTCATGTTGTGGTAGGTGTAATATGGATGTTGCCAGTGGAGAGGGATTTAGTCCTGTCCATAATGGATCAATCATTGCACCTGCTGTTCCCCAAATGTGTGTTGAAGTTGAATTGTAGCACCCAGTCTTAGTGCTTATTATGTCAGATACACAAAATCTCTAGCTCGTTTGAGTATGTATTCATTGCAGTGACAGAGTAACTTATTTTTAAATGTACAGTAGAGGGGGCAGCTATTTTTAAAGCTTTAGATATTATTTTCATAACTTTATTTGTTTAATCATTCTTTAGCTTCAATTTACATACACCTTATATTATATTCTTCTTTTTTTTAGACTGAAAATGCTTTGGGTAACACTTTGCCAGTTCCACAACTTTTGCGAATTAGAGTACTTGCCCGTGTACACTCCCAACGAGGAAGAAAAACAAGATGCCAAGCTATTTGCAAGCAATGTTCGACAAGTCATGGCCGAGTGAGCATAAAATATTATTACTGTATTATATTTGTTAAGTGTTCTTTGATTTTAAAATTCAATTAATAGGCCTATCTGTGTTGTCAATGGTGAGTTTAAGCATTTGTCATACTGCAAGTCATTTCATATTAGAATTGCCAGTGGCCTTATTCCTAATTACTGTACAATATCTGATGAAAGTTTAAATACTTGGAGGAAGGGAAGCCACTTAAATTGCAAAGTTTGTTCATTTAAAAGTTTCAAAAAATTTAACTAATTAAGGTGTCCTCATATTTTGTTAAAAGCTCAATTTTACATATGTATGAATAGGTTCTAAGTTCAAATCCTAGGCAAGGTGGTATAATCTGGGCATCATTCATTTATTTCATTTAACATTTATGCCTTGAAGCAGTTGGGGATATGAATGTAAGCTTATTACTTGATTGTCTGATTTGCAGGTTGTTAAGAGAAACAAATTATAATTTTTTTCTTGAAAATAAGCCATATTTAGCCTGGTAGACATACTCAAAGATATATTATTTTTTAACTGTTTGCTTGAGGAATGAATGTGCCAGTTAAAATCATGAACCTGATAAATAAGTAAGTTTATTGTACAGTGCTCTTGGTGTTCCTGTTGCTGATTACACCTACGATGATTGCCGACTTATGTATAAGGCTAAGCTCAAGAATCTCCCGTGCCAAACTGGACTCATTGAAATTCAGAAACTTCGGCATCGACTTGGGTGAGTGGACACTGATATGTTGACACTTAAGTATGAAGATACATAAGGCTTCTTTTGACTACTTTACATGTTTGTCAGATAATGTGAATCATATAGTGAAGCCTTTCATCCTTTTCCTGTGTATCCTCAGTTAAGAGATAAACAAATGTGAATATTTTTTGTTATCTCTAACAATTCTTTAGTGATACGAATGACACATTGAACTGATTTTCAGGCAAGGCATATACCCTGATTTGTTCACACATTCTCTCATCAGTAAATCCTTTCATTGCACATACAGTAGTCTGTAATATCTCTATGGTACAGTATATTCCTGCATCTTTTATCCTAGTTTAAATTATATCTTCACCATGCTTGCCTCTAGAATGTGCTCATAGGCAGTATTCTCCCAACAACAGTTTCTTAGACTCGGATGCTTTTTTATGCATCTTCATTCTTAATTTAACATTTTCTTTTATCCCTTCCACTACAAAGTTTGCTCATGAGTGCGTGCTATCACAGTTTCTAGGATGTAGGCAAATAATGCATGTGAGTGATGAGACATCTGGGATTCTGTAGATAATTCTGCGAAGGTTTGGTTGGGCATGTGATTGTGAAGGGTCTCTGGGAATCGAGTGACTGATTTAATAAAGCATTATAAGGGATCAGTAGCGACCTAACCTTAGTGTTTACCTACCAGCGACTATGGGGAAATAAGATCTGCTACCTTTTATGCCCTACGTGCTAGTCATTTATATCTGGAGTGCTAATTACCTCTCAATATATTAATGTTTTCATTCCACTTACCGATTACTTATACAGGGAATGAACTTCATTACATCTCAATGACTCATTTTTGTGTTTTGTTTCCACTCATGTCCCTTTGTCCTACCTTCTTTTAATATAAATAGGTTTCCTTTGTGCACTTTGTCTGTTCCTCTCAGGATCATATCCCCTCTGTTTCTTCTAAGGTTCTGATGGTGAGTTTCCTCAACCTGTCCTCATAACTGAGTCTTCTCAATTCTGGTAGTAATCTAGTTGCAAGCCTCTAAACTTTTCAAATTTCTTTTTGTGCTTCACAAGATGTGATTTCCATGATAGTGCTGCATACTCAAGTAATGGTCTCACGGGCAATGTTTATGGATTTGAAAATCTCCTAGTTTAGATTCTTAAATGATGTTCTCATGTTTACTAGCTTTGCCCCTCTGAAGCTCTGGTGGCTATGAGTCAAGATATTCATGTTTATTTGTTGTTATTAGTGAAAATTAACCGCAATGACTATAGGGTCTCCCTGAATGAACTTGCATAAATAGTTAATGATATAACAGCTTTGAGAGCTGAGTTACAAGTGTGTGGGAACATTCCCTGTCAAGGCCTGCAGGCCAGCTTTTCACCCCTACACAAATATATGTATGTGCTCAAACCAAAAGTACAGCAGCTAAATTTGTCTCTAAGTTTCCGTAATTTGCATATGCTCATCTATACAGTATTTAAAAAAAAAATTGCCGTTAGAGAAAAAGTACCACACCCAAATTATTGTAAATAGTAATTTGCACTTTATATTCTTGTCATCTACAAATAACATTTCTTTAGGTATAGTTTAGAAAAAATATTAAGAATTGTTCTTTTGTCATGTGACTGTGGGGGAGTCAAGAGGCATTAAAAACTTTCAGCCTCCAACACCATCATTACCACAGTTAAAGATTTTTTTAAATCTCCCTTTCTAGACATAAATTCATGAAAAAATGTTCTTGAGCTCTTAATCACTGTGCTGCTCAAGCTCCAAATATGGCACCCCCCTTGTGCGCAGGAAATAAAATCTTAGCAATTTTTTTTTTTTTTTTTTTAAATTGTTAAATACCCTTCCCTGATCACAGATATGTAAAAAAAAAATCGAATTTATACTTATTTTGGCCGCAGTCGGGTCCAGAAAATGGCGTGTGACGTCAAGATTTGGTGGTTGCCCGTGACATAGACTCCCGGAGGCAGTCGCACGCCAGCTTCGACATGCGCGAGTCTGTAATCTCGTGCATGTTTAACAAATTTAACACAGTAACAATTTTTTGTTAATTTTTTGCGTACATTTCCAAATACATTTTTTTTTCTTGCCAATCCTATGTATAATGAACTCATACACAATATTATGGCAGTAGAACATCTGTACTATCCCAAGACACCGTGTTACATGTATCACAAATGTGTCGACATATATTGCTCATATATCCAATGTTTCATGTTCATTTATGAATATTTAGAACATATTTACACACCATACACTATCACACACTATATACATTCACCATCAACACACTCAGAATTCTGCGGGTGTGGGCTGCCACACCCAGCCAGCCCTCCTTCACTCCTCCAACATCTTCCTCCCCAACAGTCTTCCTCCCACCATACTGTTATTGTTTTTGCACATTATATATATCTATCTACATGTTTATTCACCATAACTATACAACTAAGCTGGTGTTGTGTCCAAACAGCACAGTGGCCACCATACACTGCATGACAAGTCACATAGTAGACGACGCTACGAGTACGACACCACCTCCCTCACCAAAATGGCTCCTCCCAACATTCTCCTGTTGCTGTTATTACACTATATACACACATTGTATATACCCATGTACATGTGTGTTCACTATAGCGAACTACTAAGCTAGAATGGTGCGCAAAACAAGTGTCTGCGCCACACAGTGACGCTACCTTGATTCCCTCCCTCTCTCCCTCACCAAAATTCCTCCTCCCACAATACTACGCTTAGCGCTAATTATCACCACACTCCTGCTATTATCACAATCCTGGTCACTAAACCCTGTAAATAAATAATTAACCACAAGTTTATTTTGTAAAGGAACAAAAGAAGTCTTTTGAAGATTCCTAGATGGACGAAATAATGCTGTGGTGCTGTGGCTAGCGCTGTGAACATCGTGAACAACATTGATTCACTGATATTTGAACATTGTACACAGTCATTATCACACTCAGGCTCTTCTGTAATACTATCATGGTTAAATAATACTAGTTACATATATATTTTGACATTATTAGGCGATGCTGTGGTCACAAGCTGAACAGCAGTGCTGTGAGCTCATGCTGCATGCGCTAGCCTTGGTTGCTCACTCTCACTGAGGCTCTCACACCCGGGTATGTTGCCCACGACTTTTTTTTTTTTTTTTTTAATGGTGTCTGTTTACAAGATCCCTGAGGAAGCTGATGTGAACCCCATATAGCCGCAGGAGTTTTGAATCATACGCTATACCTATAAGATCCTGGAGGCGTGTTGCGCATCCCCCGTCAAGCGCCTGCAGGCGCGTTGCACAGTTCAGTGGTTAAGGCACTGTGTATGTGTATTTCTAAGTGCACAGTGCAGAAGTCTATGCCTTGGGTCCCTAGTCACCACCAAGGCACTGGTGCAACTAAAGAGAGGCTTTAACCAATTAACTATATTCAAGAAGTATCACTTTATTTAATTGTATAAAGAATAACTTCAGATTTTAGCACATGTTGATCTACATTTCAGTTTGAATTTGAAGAATGTTGAGGAAGAGCTTTTGAGTCAGTATGCAGATATTGCCATTAGTGATGGACAAATCACACTTACAGACTTTGCAAAGTATTTAGGCATCCCTGAATCTGAGCCAGCCCTTGTAGATCTGTTTAAGGTCTATGATAAGGTAAGAAAAGTACAGTACTTGATTATTTTTTTTTATTATTATTAATTGAGCTTATTAAATACTGTATTATGAAAGTGCTTGGAATTTTCATCTAGCACTAATAATTATAAATTGACACCTATATTAAGAATATTTCATGTATAATACTTATCCAACAGGATTTTTTTCCTTCTTTTCAGGATAATTCAGGAACCATTGATTTTCGTGAATATCTTGTAGGTTATTGTCAGTATGCACAGCCAGCCAACACAGAAGATACTCTAAAGTGTGCATTTAAACTTTTTGATCGTGGAGGTAAAGGTCATATCCTCCTTGATGATCTTGTTAAGGCACTTCGAGCTTCTTTGGACATGACACCAGAGGAGACAACACGAATATTTAAGCAGGCTGATCAGGACAATAAAGGGTATATAACATATGGTAAGTACAGTACAGTACATGGACATTTCAAGTCCCCTAATTCATATAAAGTAGATAACAGAAAAGAATATGCATATTATAAAATGCCTGTGTGGGCAGTACATGTGTGTAACTCGGTTGCTGCAAAACTCTTTATGAAGTACAAATGTATTATTATGTAACATATAGGTTAGGTTAGGTATGTACTTTATATTTTTAACTCCCAAACTGTAGTTACAATATGAGAGCTATGCTTGCAATGTCTCATCGGATTTGTGTGGGGGACAGAAGCAGCTGATGGCAGAGAGGGGAGTCAGGTGATGCACTTACTAGCTAATTGCCAGAGATTTGTTTTAATAGGGGCTTGTCAATATATTTTTGGAGGGGTGTTAGATTATCTTGTGATTCCCATTAGATGATTTTGCTAACAGTTTGCCTCAGTATTTGCTAGATCTCGGATCCCATGTGTTCCTCATCCCATAGAGGGGACAATGGGATTTGCAAACATCCATATACCTTTTGGGAGTCTCTCACAAGAGCCTAGCATAACTCGTTTGCCAGTAATTGTCTGTATATAAATTGAAGGAGCTACTGAATCTTCACTCCAAAATGGGAATTTCATTACATTTAGCACTAGATTTTTTATTTTGTTATTGTAATTTTCTAAATAACTACCTTTCTGTAATTATAGGGTGAGAGCTACGCTCGTGGCGTCCTGTCTTTCCAGTACTCTTTGTCACATGATGCTTTGAAACTACTGGTGGTTTTGGCCTCAACCACCTTCTTACTTAACTTGTTCCAACCATCTGCCACTCTGCAAAAGTGACCTTTCTAATGTTTTCTGGCAGCTTTGTTTCCTTAGTTTGAATTTATGACCTCTTGTTCATGAAGTTGCAGGTTTCAAGAATTCTTCTTTGCCAATTTTGTCAAGTCCTGTTACTATTTTGTCCGTAATGATCACCTCTTTTTTCTTCTATCTTCGGTATATTTAACACCTTTAGTCTCTTCTTGTAGCTCTTGTTTTTCATTTCTGAAAGCCATTTAGTTGCAGGTCTTTGCACTTTTTCCAGCTAATTGATGTGCTGCTTGAGATATGGGCACCATACAACCATTGCATATTCCAGTTTTGGTCTCAGAAAGGTTGTTAACAATTTGTTTAATATTTTGCCATCCATAGCAAACTACTTGAAATTAAAATTAAAGGCAATTCTACCTTTAAAGTATTTTAGTTCTATTAAAGTGCATAATAGTTCTTTTCACATTTGTGTGTGTTTACATTGGCCAAAAATAGTATCATATTAGTGCCAATGATATACAGTACAGAAAACAATAAAATAGTGGTCAATATACAGGTATTGGCAAATATCCAATATCTTAGTGAATGCTTTCACAAATTCATTTGGATGTGCAAAGATGGTCTATAGGTTTGCTGCTATATAGTTTTGGCTGTGAGTAGTGGCTAGTGGTACTTGAGTAAAGTTTTGGAACAATTATTGAAGGTGGTATTGAGAATTTAGTTTTTCTACTTTGTATCAGAGTAATATGTCTGTGATGGATACCAATTTCTCCAATACCTCCCCCTCTTCATTTTATATGGCATAAAAATTAGCAAAATATACCAGTACCTGTCAGAGAGAAGATGCAGGTGACTGAACCTGGCATATTTTGTTGTTGTTTAGGTTGGCTACATAGGTGAATAGCTTGAGAGGTAACCAAGGTAAAGTGACATTTCAATACTCTTGGCATCCTATTTTTCTTATATTAATTTCTCCTTGTTAATGACATTTCTGAAATGTATTCCCTTTGCAGTCGACGAGTCACAATAATGTGACTGAAGATATGTTGACCAAACCACACATCAGAAGACTGAGAAATGACGATGTTTCGGTCCGTCTTGGACCATTATGAAGTTGATCATCACACAACTTGATAATGGTTCGGGACAGACCGAAATGTCGTTATTTTTCCATCTTCTGTCGTGTGGTTTAGTAATGTATTCCCTTCCTCCTCTTTTTCTTGGCATTAATACTTCAGTTCTTTCTCACCCTCTCATTCTGCCTTGTATTTCTTTCTTGATTCTTTATAAATTTTCCTTCTCTTATAAACCCTGTCCCAATTCTATTTCTATCCTGCCTTCACTTTGGCGGGACCAAAGAGCCAGAGCTCAACCCCCGCAAACACAACTAGGTGAGTACTTTAGATTAATATAAAATCCCTATTCTTCTTTTTAATTAATCTAACTCTTAATTACAGTATGTTTTAATAATGTTAAATCTTTTGTATGCTAACAGAGGACTTTCAAGCTCATGCCAAGAGGAAGCCAGAATATGCAAAGATCTTCCTAACTTATCAGGAAAGCATTAAGAATGGTACAAGACCACGTCATGTTCACAACCCTCCCCCGGGCAAGAAAAAAGCAGACTAATCATATATGCGTTACATGTATCTTGCATCTTCTCTACTATCTCTTGAGTAACTGATTCTGGGTACTATATAGTAGAAAGATTTATTAGTGAAGAAGTATTTCAACATTTTGGACATCATGTGGTATGTAAAGCAGTATAAATATCACAGTTCTTTTTAAATAAAGCAACCAATATTGTTTATTATGTTAGCTCTATAGAGCATTAACTGTCCTTGACCAGATAAATAAAGAAGCATAATCCCTGTGAACTCAGCTTTTATTAGCAGAAAATATAGCACACTTCATTGGCGAGATTGAGACAAGATTTAAATTTTGATTCTGCAATGAGCCGTTAGGATAGGGAGTGTTTCAAAAACTAAATATATCAAACAAGAGCACATTTAGTAAAAAAAAAAATAAAGAATGTCATTCATAAAACTAAATATATCAAACAAGAGCACATTCAGTAAAAAAATAAAAAATGTCATTCATAAACTATGTTGCAGGTACAAGTACAGTTATGTCAGGTTTTTATTCAGATACTGTAAAATTAAAGTTTCATGTAAATTATATATGGAAGTGCAGAGTATTGTAGTGGAATATTAATATTTAGCATAATATGAGCTTTGGCATATCATTGATAGCCACTGCCACAATTTATCGCCTTTGGAATTGATTAAAACAAATAGCAACCGTTTGCTCCAGGTGATGAAGTGCAGATATAATAATGATTAATATGTGAAGTACAGGGTATTTAATTTTTGGATGTAATGCCTTTGGGCAGTCTTAAACATACATATACATATATACATATATATATAAATAAATAAAATTCAAGGTCTACAAACTTAGGTCAGTGGTTGATGTTCTAGACTTCCCTGAATTAAAACCAATTATATACATTGGTAAGAATATATTTTTGCTTATGTTTGATAAATTATTTGGAAGTAGGGTTATGTACACATCTAACATTGCTCCAAGTGAAGCAGTTAGGAAATATGAACTTCACTATGGTGTTAAAGCAGTTGTACTTCAGAATGATTGTCTTAAGTTTTCCTTAAATACGTGCACTTAACTGTTTACATATACAGTGGTACCTTTGTTCATGATCATAATGCGTTCCCAGAGACACATCGTCATCTAAAAAGTTGTCAACCAAACAAATTTTCCCATAAGAAATAATGTAAATTGAATTAATCCATTTCACGCCCCCAAAAATATTAACTTAAAAATACATTTTATACAGAATACTACTCATATTTTTCATACACAAAACAATCGAGTATAAATATAAACCAATCATAAAATAAGTGAACATTTAACTGCACTGAGGACCTTTGTTGGCGTATAGGAGATGGTGAGAAGGGAAGGGGGAGTTGGTGAGACCGTCTCTTGCTGGCGCATTCATATCTGCATCACTGGTTTCAATTTTCCATTCAAACATTTCACTGTCTCTGTTATGTGGCAGCCAGTCAGAACCAGTCATGCATTCATATCTGCATCACTGGTTTCAATTTTCCATTCAAACATTTCACTGTCTCTGTTATGTGGCAGCCAGTCAGAACCAGTCATGCATTCATATCTGCATCACTGGTTTCAATTTTCCCTTCAAACATTTCACTGTCTCTCTGTTATGTGGCAGCCAGTCAGAACCAGTCATGCATTCATATCTGCATCACTGGTTTCAATTTTCCCTTCAAACATTTCACTGCCTCTCTGTTATGTGGCAGCCAGTCAGAACCAGTCATTTACAGTCACAAGTCAGTCATGCATTTCAAGCATTCACAGTTGTGGTAGCAACTGATTAGGCATTTATAGTCATTTATGCATTTACAGTCATTCAGCCATTTATAGTCAATCAGCCATTTACAGTCCAGATGTGGCAGGGAGGGTACAGCTGGGGGAGGGGGATGGAGGTAGTGGGGAGGGGGTGGTGAGGGGAATGGAGGTAGTGGGGAGGGTCCGGTGGTGGTATGGAGGTAGCAGGGAGGGTGCGGTGTGGGGGATGGAGGTTCTTCCCACCATCCATCCAGTCCCTCACTATCCATCCAGTCTCTCCTTCCATCCAGTCCCCCACTATCCATCCATCCAGTCCCCCACCATCCATCCAGTCCCCCACCATCCATCCATCCAGTCCCCCCCCCCATCCATCCATCCAGTCCCCCTTCACCACCCATCCATCCACCCCCCCTATGCATCTTCTTCTTGAGGTTATCTTGAGATGATTTCGGGGCTTAGTGTCCCCGCGGCCTGGTCCTCGACCAGGCCTCCACCCCCTAGAAAGCAGCCCGTGACAGCTGACTAACTTCCAGGTGCCTATTTACTGCTAGGTAACAGGGGCATCAGGGTGAAAGAAACTGCCCATTGTTTCTCGCTGGCGCCCGGGATTGAACCTGGGACACAGGATCACGCGCCCAGTGTTCTGTCCGCTCAGCCACCGGCTCCCTCCCCACCATCCAGTTCCCTCGCCATCCATCCAATCCTCTCACCATCCATTTTGGGACCCATGGCATGATATATAATAAGAACTTTTATGTTAAAAAACAGACAATGAAATTCTTCACAAAGAATTCAAAGCACAGCCGCAGTCGTCACTACGGACGATAGACTTGTAAACAAACTGAGTATGCCTCGCCCTGTGCTCCCAGCACCACGCGCTCATTTGACCAATATGTGTATGAACAAACGTCGTCTTCCAAGTAAACCATTGTGCACCAATTCAAATTTTATGACAAATTTGGCATTGTGTTCCAAAACATTTGTCTTCTAGGATAGTCGTCAACCGAGGTTTCACTGTGTGTGTGTGTGTGTGTGTGTGTGTGTGTGTGTGTGTGTGTGTGTGTGTGTGTGTGTGTGTGTGTGTGTGTGTGTGTATATATATATATATATATATATATATATATATATATATATATATATATATATATATATATATATATATATATATATATATATATATATATATATATATGTCGTACCTAATAGCCAGAACGCACTTCTCAGCCTACTATTCAAGGCCCGATTTGCCTAATAAGCCAAGTTTTCATGAATTAATGTTTTTTCGTCTACCTAACCTACCTAACCTAACCTAACCTAGCTTTTTTTGGCTACCTAACCTAACCTTACCTATAAATATAGGTTAGGTTAGGTTAGGTAGGGTTGGTTAGGTTCGGTCATATATCTACGTTAATTTTAACTCCAATAAAATAAAATTGACCTCATACATAGAGAAAAGGGTTGCTTTATCATTTCATAAGAAAAAAATTATAGTAAATATATTAATTCAGGAAAACTTGGCTTATTAGGCAAATCGGGCCTTGAATAGTAGGCTGAAAAGTGAGTTCTGGCTACTAGGTACGACATATATATATATATATATATATATATATATATATATATATATATATATATATATATATATATATATATATATAATGTGTGTATATATATATATATATATATATATATATATATATATATATATATATATATATATATATATATATATATATATATATATATATATATATATATATATATATATATATATAATAAATAATATTGGATATAAAAGCATAAGAATGAAAGTAACTACAGATGGCCTATTGGCCCATATTTTCTCTTGCTGCTTCTATGTTGGTTCGGGGTCTTGAAGTGGGTAGAATATAGTTATGCGTTAATTGGCTGTTGATTGCTGGTGTTGACTTTTTGATGTGTAGGGTTTAACGTTCCTACCATCAACGTTCCTATTAATAAGAATAGGATATAGTTATTCCTACAGACAAAAATCAGAAAATACAATTGACAATTTACTACAAAAACAAGAAAAATGGCCAACCTACTTACGAAAAACTTCCCAGACACCAAACAGAACACCTTGAAGGAAACCAACGTCGTCTATGCCTTCACATGCCCACTTGGGGACTGTGAGCCCAAAGATCTCAGTATATAGGCAAGACAACAACGTCTCTTTCTAGGGGATTAACAATGCACAAACAACAGGGTTCCAACAAGGAACATATAATCTCTTCTCACAACCAGTCCATCACTAGAGAAATTTTAACAAGCAACACAGAAATCATCGATAGATATAGCCATAACAAGAGACTCCACATCAGAAAGGCCCTACACATCAAAATGCCAACACCAGCAATCAACAGCCAATTAACGCATGACTATATTCTACCCACTTCAAGACCCCAAATCAACATAGAAGCAGCAAGAGAAAATATGGGCTAATAGGCCTTCTGTAGTTACTTTCATTCTTATGAACTGTAACCAAACCACCCAGCTCCGGACCGCCCTCATCATCATTCTTATGTTTTCATATCCAATTTATACCCATTGATTCGTGTTCTGTCACCTCGCCCAAAACATTTGTGTTATATCACCTCATCCAAAATGAATACATTATATATATATATATATATATATATATATATGCATGCATGCATGCATGCAGGCCAGGTGATGAGTCACAATAACGTGACTAAAGTATGTTGACCAGACTACACACTAGAAGGTGAAGGGACAGTGACGTTTCGATCCGTCCTGGACCATTCTCAAGTCAGTTGTGAAATCGACTTTATTATATATATATATATTTAAGTCAATTTCACTATCGACTTGAGAATGGTCCAGGACGGACCAAAACATCGTCGTCCCTTCACCTTCTAGTGTGTGGTCTGGTCAACATACTTTAGCCACGTTATTGTGACTCATTGCCTGGCCTGTATACATATATAAACTCATAGCCTGGTGTGTGTGTGTGTAATATATATATATATATATATATATATATATATATATATATATATATATATATATATATATATATATATATATATATATATATATATATATATATATATATATATATATATATATATATATATATATATATATATATATATATATATATATATATATATATATATATATATATATATATATATATATATATATATATATATATATATATATATATATATATATAATATAATATAATAATATATGATAATGTGTGTAAACAGTTAAATGCACGTATTTTGCATTTGTAGTTGGTTGCATTTGTAGGGACCCTCGACCTTGAAGAAGATGATATGTAGCATCTGGGGGAGCCTTGTTTGGCATTCGCATACACCTACATATTGCCTTCTCATATAGTGAGTGTGAGTGTGTGTGTGTGTGTGTATGTGTATATATATATATATATACATGTATATATATGTATATATATATTTATATATATATATATATATATATGTCG